ATAAAAAAATCAGAGCATTCTATAATAACTCATCGGCTTAATAAAGTGAAAAAAAAACAACAAAAAACAATGTATAAGATCATTTGGTAATAAAAATCATCAACACCATTCCAGCTTTAAATTAATTTTCATTATGGACCTCATTAACTTCAATATTGGTAAATGTGTTCATTTTGTAACTACAGAAGAAAGCAATGGACATTTGTAACATTCATTGCTGAATTATTTTTTCGGCAATACTATTTACTGACAACATCTTCTGTAATTGACAATCATTGATATCATTAATTGGTCATTTTTCCGAATGAAAGAGCAGAATTGTAAACGTCTTCAATTACAATCCTAGTGATGACATTATTTTCTTCATTAATTATAATGTGATGGGATATCTGTCAACACTATAGAACAGCTCTTGATATGAACCGATAAGTACTGTTCGTTGACATTGGTCATCACGTACATGACATTATTCACATCTGATTATATATTCGTAGTCGAAGCGCTGTTACTGTGCTATCCCATATGCATTACATTTGAAGTATATTTCCATTAATTATATGTCAGCGGATTTGTTCCCGAATTATTCGTCAAACACACGCCATGCTGTCTCTGGAAATGTACTTGCAAATTTTGAACAAAATTTTACTGTATCAATACATAGAAAGAAACTGTTAATTTTTTAGCCAAATCAACCATCATCATTAGCAATTGTAAATGAGAAAAAAGTGAAACAGGCAAAAAAGTAATCCAAAAAGAATAATGAGCCAAAAACTTTTCAAAAACATTAAACGGTCTGTGGAAATGATTAAAATTATGAAATGATTAAAATTATGTTAATTTTTTAACACCGTTTCCTTTTAACAGGAAAATATTCTGTCCTTCACAAAAAAATTTCGAATATTTAATTGCAACAATGAGAGTAACAGTTCACTTTGCTATCACTTACTTGATTATAACGACAGTATAATAGCTGAGAAATAAGAACAATGGCATGATTATTCACGAACAACTTTTTCCGATAAATGGTAATGCTTGAAGTAACAAATCCAATTCAAGCATTACCATTTATCGGTGGAAAGTCATTCGCCAAAATACTCTTCCGTAAATAGAAATTAAAAAAAGTCCAGTCGGATGAGGTGAAGCAACAACCACTACACTGAAAAAAGCCATTTTTATGCATCAGACTAAAAGTCATATGATATGCTATACAATGATAAGATTACACGACTCTAATTCTTTTACACAATAACTTTAAATCCCCTCCTGCACAAAATTCTTGCTAGTTCCTTCAAAACCTGCGTCTGAATGTAACTTAATCCTTTCGAAATAAGTTTTATAGACTCTCAGATAAAACTATTCTTTCCATTAACCTTTGCAGTGATGCCATTCGCTACACTGTATCAAGTAGTTTGAAGTAGAATATAACTTTTCAACAAAACGTCTGTGTTTTCTTTTTTGTATTTTAGGAAATTAATTTTTATTTCATTTTTCTATTTCAACATAAAGATGCTGTGATAAATCTTATTGATAAAACAATCATACAATGCACAATAATTACATATTAATGACAACATAGTCTTTAATTCACAGACAAGTCGGTAAAAAGTGCAATATGGAAATATAACAGTTGTTTATGCCAATTGAATTTCTATCAAAAAAAAGCTTTTCCATTTACAGTGCGTAAAAAAATTTGCATTATCATCATGCACATAACATCGCGAAGAGACTATCATCTTTAAAACAAGCAAAGGAAAAATCTTTCTCAAATCCTTACATTCCAATGGAAGCAAAACTTAACACCCTAAATTTAAATTTCCCTTTCTCATATGAAATATCCTTCCTGGAAATTAACAGATTGCTGATTATTAAATCATGTTTGCTAAGTTTTAAATCAAAATGCCAGTAGATTTACTGTCGATAGTACAAAATATTCAGTCACCATATAACTAACAAATATGCACAGTAATGTGATCAATATCAACACTGTATTTCAAAAACCAAAACAGCAATCATTTTTTCTTTTTCATGATTTCAAGCTCTGCTGTGAGATCATTTCGAAATGATATTTCGAATGTTTACAAGTAAAATATATAAATTAATCCATTTTTTCAATAGTTTCAATTGCCTTTATCCGATAAGACAGATCACGAATCCTGAAAATAATATTTTACTGTGACCGCTAATCGAAAAATCCAAAATACTAATTTGGTTAAATCAAGACTATCTTTACGACATTTACAGTGCGTGAAAAAAATCTGCATTATCATCATGCATGCTAACATGTCAAGAGAGATAATTAAGGACAATCTTAATTTAAGAAAAGTTGTTTGAAATTTTAAAATCCTAAACATTTGGAAATCTTTTGAGAAAGAGTTGGAGATGATAACAAATTACAAATCATCACACCTCTGGATCATTTCCCTTCTAACTGGCGTAGTAAAATGATTCAACAAACAAGAAACTGTCGCAAAGGCAAATGCAACGTTATATGTCCAAACCAGTGTAAAATTGGATAACCACATAAAACTGCCGTACGCTCCTACCAAATCGAATGTCGTGATTCCTGAAAACGAAACGTTTCGCTTCAGCAAAAGTGATAAATACTAGGAGTCAGCAACACTATAAAATTTGATGACATATATCGAAAACAAATATGGTCATGAAACAAACCAAGGGTTCGTGCAAGAACCGGAAGTGCAGAACTAAGTACTAAAACAGTTGTGCAATTTGCAATCACACGTGTCATCGATGTCTTATGTAACTCAGGTCGAATTCGCCGTAACAGTGGCACTGAATAAACTCCAATCATTGCAGCAACCATTATATACCTAAATAACTATTAATCAAGTGTTGAAAGTTATATGGATTTTATAAAAGAGTTGAGTATTCAATTTTTTAATGCTTACCAAATTATGATAACTTCAACGATAGCTCCAAAAATGCCTAATGTATGACGTGAATTTACTTCCATGTATTGCGCGTATACGGGTAATGCCCGAAACCCGAATAGCAATTGCAGCGTATTGATCAATACCATAAGCACAGTGACTGTCTGAAGGAATTAAAAAATAAATGCAAAAATTGAGAAAGAAAATATATGATGAAAACCAAAATAATGCGTGAGTTACAAATCTTATTAACTAAATTGCTGAATCGGAAATTATGCATTGATTAACTTACAGTTAAGAGGAGCAAGACAACGATCGCAGACACATACTTCACCGTTTGCAACACAACCTGATAACCACGAAGCGGCTTCTGTGGCAGAAATGGGTCTGGAAGTGATACATCCCCCTGATTGTTTCGTCGCAATCGTCTTTTAAGAGTTTGGTATTCTAATCGAAAAACCGTTTCCTCTAACGGATCGATGATTTTATTATAGTCTGTTGCAAGCAAATGATTTGATACTACCGAGAACATCCTTGCTAATCCTGGAATTACAAACAGTCACTGTTCCAATATCTTGTAAATGTCATCCTGTCAAAATACATCATAAAACCTACAATTTACCAAAAAATTAGCAAATTAACTCCTTATCAAATAAAAGAATTTCGAAAAACCAGAAAAATTAAGAAAACTACCTATGGGAGCTGTGATCAGCAACGTCAGCACTCCAAATAAGGATACACATGAATATAGAAATGGCAAATTAACAGATGTGAAACTGAGTATGGATAATGAAATTGAAGCACTCTCTGTCTGAAGATTTTATGTATGCATAAGGTAAAGAAAATCAATAATCTTCCTTGTTCTAAGATTTTATATAAATATAACTTCATAGAATGTGCGAATGAAGAAAATTCTCGTCTTTTTTGTGCAAAATTTTCGTTTTCAAAATAAACCACATATATCAAAAAAGGATAAGCAGCAAATGGGAAATAAAAAGCAAATGAGAATATTCCGAACTTTCAAAATCATTGCAAATAATAAAACTTACGAGAAAGAGAGAGTATATTACGTCAGCCAAGCATATTAAAACGATAATAAGAAGTATGCAGACGGCAACCGTTTCATATACTCGAGTCATTATGCCCTAAAAATTTCTCGGAAATATCGTACCGAAAAGTCAATAATTTTACTGCTCGAATGTTACAGCAAAAAAAGAATAAAAATTTCAAAAACGATGTGAATCAAATTCATTAATATTTACTTGGCGACTTGATGTCATCTGACGGCACTTCGTCTCATAATAGGGTACAAAAAATTATTACCTTTCCATGACCTTTAAATCCTTGAGATTCAATGAAAAAATAAGCAAACGGAAGAAGTATAAACAACGACAGGTTGCTTAAAGCAAAAATATAATTCCAAAGTGAATGAATCAGAGGCCAATTCAACCATTGGAAATAGTAACTCCCTGGATAGGCCTGTATTATTTCAGATCCAATCACTGAAAACGGCAGCAGTGTAGCAGCTCCCATCGATACTGCTAAAGACCATGTACACATCCATAAACTACAAAACGTGAATAGCATTAACGTAATTAACCGCAAAATGAAAGTTGAACAATATTATTTTAATATTCCAAAAGTCCCTTATCTATCATATTGTAATTTTGAACTTACGAAACACGAAAAACAAAAAAATCCTCGCCACCGGCGTACAATTCATCATTATCGCTTCGCTCTTTCAATAGGCGAATGATTGAATACGAAATAAGGTATAAGCATATAAACAATAACATACAAATCTGCAAAGATTAAGCATCATCAAAAAGTTTCAAACAACAAAAAAAATTGGGAGAGAAAAATACTTCTCGCTCATTTATGAAACTAATCTATGAAAATTATAACAAGAAATTTTCATTAATTCCTGTTATGCCCCACATGTCGGTTGCAGAATGAAAAGGATTTTCTAATACCTTATAATATAAGGAGATGTGAATTGAATCTTACCACTGTGACCTCAAATTACAAATGTTTTATTATTAAAGAAAAAATTAGAGTTTAAGCATTCTCATATAGATATATCATGATAAAGTTCGAACTTTCAAAATCCAGAGTAAAGAAGTGAACTTTAAAGAGAAAACTACTCTTTTATAAATGAATGTGGATTATTCACAGAAACACTAACACAACAATACACTTACGATATGTTGACGGATGAACTGGTGAAAACGCTGTTCACGTTCATTAACATCCTCAAATTGTTCCATTGTACACAACCATTGATATATACGTCATTTATTTTTTTATTTTCGTCTACAAAAATATGAATAAGAATGGGAAAAAAAAAACATTACCTAATTAAACAAAGATTTATCCTTCACACAGCTGTTTACTTACAAACACACCCTAACCACTCTCATCCCATCCAAATAAACAACAATTACCATCACGTGCACTTTCAACGCATCATTTTACAACAAAACTTTTTCACGGTATTTATTAAATCCTGGCGCTAATTTTTCATGGATTTATCGGAGGCGAAGGATGGTTTGGGTTGGACTTGTGAATGCTAGAAGCCTGTTAACTATTTTGTTTTTATAGTATTCTATTTTTGTATTATTTTTATATCCTATTTTTATACGAATTATATACTGTTCTTTCGTGTGTGTTGTACTTTTATTGCGCTCCTTTTCATTGGTTCTCTCATTTTTGCTCTTTTTTCATGAATTTGAATGGACTCCACCATTCAGTTTTTTTCTCTAAAGTTTGATAAATATTTGGTATAATTGACTAAAAATAACGAAAGAATTTGAAATTTTTGATAATTCATCATATTACCTGCGTATATGATAGTAAATTTGATTGCTTAAACTAATTTCGAGTTTGACTTCAGGATAATGAAATCGGCTGCTACAACAATTGCTAAGATGAAAACTAAAAAGAGTAACTTTGTGTATGGGTGTGGTTTCGGGAAAACAGGAAGTCTTTTTACTAGAGTATTACGAGAAACCGGACAGAAAGAATTCAAGAATCCCAGACAAATTCAATACTTCAATTCACGTAATATTCGTCATATTGCAGCTGGGTTCGGCTTCTCAATTTTGGCATCGGAGCGGAAACTTTATGGTGGTGGCGTTGATATTTTTAGCAACAATTTAGATAATAGGAATTATTGGAGTGAAGGTATTTGCCTGAATCCTAATGCCAAGGACAAGCAATTTAGTACCATAATAGACGTTGCGGCTGGTCGACGACATTTTCTGGTTGCATCTAAAAAGGCAGTCTATGCATTTGGTGATAATGCTCACGGGCAGTGCGGACAGGATCCTGAAAATATGCCTTTTGTAAGACTAGAAAATAAACCATTTCAAAAAATTACGATTCCTTCGGATTCAGAAATTGCTCGGGTACATTGTACATTAGATACATCATTCATCCTTCTGGATTCTGGTGAAGTATTTTCATTCGGATTAGGTACAGATGGACAATTGGGACGCGGAAAATGCAATTGTGATTGGCGTTGTCTACCAGTTGAAGGTGACTTGAAGGGAATGAAGGTAAAAACTTTAAAAGGGAGCACGGATACTTTGATGGCGGTGACAAAGAGTGGTGAATTATTCATGTGGGGACAAAATGAATACGAACAAATGTATCCGTTTGTAAAGGATATTCAAAGGAGCTTTCCATGTGAGATTCGTCTTTCCATGGAGAAAATTACACTAGCAGATTCTACAGCAACTTCTTGTATAGCATTAAGTAACAATGATCAAGTTTATGTTTGGGGTTTCGGAATTCTCGGTATGGGACCCAATGTTACATCACTACGACGACCAGCGCTCCTGGAAAGTAATCTGTTCAGCAGTGGTCCTAATGATTCGGGTAAAGTCAAGAAGGTTTTCGCTGGTAATTCTTCGATGTTTGCTGTTTCAAGAACGGATAATCTGTTTTCTTGGGGTCTTAATAGATTCTCTCATTTAGGTCTTTCACATGACAAAGACCAGCATTTCCCATTTCAAGTTGATGTGTTAAAGAAGCCATTAGATGTCTCCATTGCACCTGATCATGTGTTATTCTTAATGAGTTGATTTGTGCCATCTATTATATTCCTGGAATTGTTATCGATTTGTGATTCGAAATGTGTCGAGAAAATATTTCACTTTGTTCTTTTTGCGATTATTTAACATGGTTCATTTAACATGTTGTTTGAAGGCTTTTTCGATGATCTCTTCGTGTATATTTTCGTCCGAAACTAAATGTAATAAATAAATTAGAAGTATAGATTGCGCAATGTCCGATAGTGATGAAACTGACGAAGAAGCGGCAGAAGACATTGGTATTAACTCCGGAAAAGAAGATGAACAAGAAGTGGAAAGTGCAGCAGCAAATAGTTTGGAAGAAGAAATTTCTCGAAATTTCAAGTATGAAACATTATGCAAATACTTAGATCGTATGCAGCAAATTCATTTCAAGAACAAATTCGGTAAAGAACGAGTATTAAAAGCATTAGTGACAAAATGGACAACAGACGCTTCAAAATTTACAAGTGAGGCTGTTAGCTTTTATCCAGTTTTACGTATTATGGCTAATTCACTGGATCGGCGGAAATTTCGCATGAAATCGGTTAGTTTATAATGATATTTAAGTAGGGGAAGTTATTTATGGATCATACTATATAAAGTATTTTAACGTAATCGTACCATATAAAACATAATCTGCGGAAATAAGTTGAACACACTATGTGATGCCTATGCATTAGCGAATTTTTCAGAAGCGAATTATATCGAAAATATGCCAAGTATTGTTTCTTCCTCCAAAGACGAAAAAGGAATTGTTGCAGATAGATTCCAAGGTAAATATATTTATTTATTTGCTTTCCGTTTATTCTCTTTATTTTTTGCTGATCAAATAGCTTTGGTTTTCTCTTGAGAAAACGCTCCATATAAAAATATTAAAGTTATATACTATAAATTGCATTACTGTAATGCAATCTATAATGTACAAATCAACAGTAGCTTCTATGTTCTTGTTGTAAAATAACAAACATAATTCATTAAATGGATGAATCTTACCTACTGACCGAATATCAGTATTTATTTGGTTATCACACGAAATGTGTTGCGGTGAAATTTTTGCTAGAAATCTTTAAGAAAGCAGCCGTAAATTATTTCCAGAGTGCGGACCAATCGATTATGAAACTGGCAGAAGAAGTTTCAATGCGAAATCCAACTATTACTAAACGTGAGCTCTCTCTTTTTGATGTAAACGATTCGCTGTGCAAAATAACAGAAGGAGAAATAAGTAAGTAATTATCTTTATAATGCAATCATTAGTTTTAAAAGGATTTAATCATAAATAAGTTTAAAACTGTTCTTTAGTTTACTTTGGTAAATTCGTCGTTTGCGTGTTTGCAGGTAATGAAGAACTAGAAAAGCTTTTAAAGACCTGCGCAACAGTACGCGAAGTCTACTGGCTTTTGCAAGTATTGGTTCGTAAAATTGAAGTAAGTTATATATTGTGAATACATGCCTTTCCGTTATGTTAATGTAATCTGCCTTCAATGTCTAACTATGAAAAAGAAAAAAAATCAGCGTAAAGAATCAGTTTTGTTGACTATGACTTGAAAACCACAGAAATTTGTGTAATTTGGTGTTTCCTAAGACACTGCCATACTTTCTCACTACGAAACATAATACCTTCTTTTTTGTTACGAAAATACGTTTCAGCGCTCCTTAAAGGTAACATCCGCAAATTTAGTAAGCTGGATACATCCGAATGGAACTGCGTTATATCAATCTGGCATCAGCTTACGAGAAATATGTGATCTTGCTGCGGAAGGTAAAATAGCAGACAACTCGAGCATGCTTTTCCGTCGCTTCGAACCAATGTTATTATCAAGAATCAGGCACGGTACTGGAGATGTTTACGATAAAGTAATTACTTCAATCATATATTAATTTGTGGCTATATGAAATTCTAATAATAGTGGAAATTCTGTTTATAGAATAAGACTGCTTGTATAATGCTTTATTGTGAATTCGAAAATTTCCAGCGTAAATTCATTTTCTGAAGCAAATGATTTGTATGCTAGTGCAACAGGTAATTTAATTTGAATTTGAGCTGGTTCATTTCTGTGGCCAAGAATTTTATGTGGAATTAAAATATGACGGTGAACATTTCTTGCTACACAGAGGACCAAATTGTGAAATTCGATACTATTCCCGAGTTCAGAATGACTTTACAAATACCATAGCACCAATACTGGATCATAGAATCAATCCATATTTTGCGCCTTGTATTGAAAGCTGTATACTGGATACTGAATTACTGCTTTGGGATACTGTTGATAAAAGATTTGGTTAGTTAGTCATCTTAATAATAAACGAATACTTTGTGCCAATTTTGTGATAAGAACTTTCCAGTGCACTGCAATATTTGACTTAGTGTAATATAAAATACATCTCCCAAAATGTCTCAAATTATTTTATTCATAATTGGTAGGTAGTCGGCGTTACTCATAATTTCTAATCAAAAGACTGTGTATCTATTACTATTAAGACTGCTAAATTTTCTAGTCTTATAGTTGGTCATAATGCACAAGCATCGGATGGTCGTATTTATGATGTGAAAGCTTTGAGAACAGATGGTGCAGTAGAGCCAAGTGTTGCGGTATTTGATGTTTTATTTTTGAATGGAAAACCACTAACAGATGTTCCTCTAAGCGAAAGGCTTGCCCTTCTTCAAAGTGGAAATGTTTTGCAAAAACAAGACACGACAAAAATATTCGTGTCAAAGTTCACTGTCGTCAAAACGAGGTTGAGTTTTCCCCACAGTATAGATTAGTTCAATATAAAGTCATTAAAATATATAAGAAGAAAAAGTTAAGGCTTGATAGAATAGAGTGCAGCAATTTACAAAATTTTGCGAGAAGCAATCTTGTTATGTCTAATAAGTAGGTTTAGGTAATGGATTTCTGATGTTTTGAAAAATTGTAGTAATAGGTGTATTTTGTATTATTGTATTCCGTGTTAACTTTTGTAGAGAAGAATTTGCTTCGATATACCAAGAAGCTATAACAAATGGTCAAGAAGGCATTGTAGCGAAGAAAATAAATTCGATCTATAAAATGGGTATGCGTCAAATGGCAAATGGTTGGTTTAAGGTATTTATTTGGTCAAAAGTATATACTCGCCATATCTTTTAATATGTTCAATTATTCTAAAAGTAATTTAATCCTTTTTCTAAGCAGAATTATACGATTTATTTTGGTGATTCTGTGAATAAATTATATAAATTTTAGGTAAAACCGTTCCATTTGGGTAGTGAGACACTGGATCTTGCAATTGTTGGTGTCGATCTTGGTAGGAATGATAAAATCAGTAATTATTGTGTGGCTACACTTAGAGGTATTATTATGTTATTTCTTCTTAAGAAAACATCTTTGTCATTAATGAATTATTTGAATTTTGAATTTATTTGTGTTTCATTTAAAACTGTAAATCCACAACAAGTTCTGTGGTTTCACAAGTTTGGCTTTTTAGATGGTAAGTTTTTTATGGTCGGCAAAGTAGGAACAGGATTGGACGAGACGACACGTACATTTATTAAAAATCGTTTGACGCGAGACCATGGTTTTTTCAAAAGTGACAGGATTCCGAGCTGGATTCATGAAGATCATACATCAAACGATTTGCCAACTTATTTTGTAAAACGCAATAACATACAAGTTGTTGAGGTATTTTTTAAAGAAGCAAAATCTAGCAGTTACGAGCTTTTCAAACTATTAGTTGATCATATTTTCATTTAGCCTTAAAATTTATGCTAGATTCGAGCTAAAGGACTAAGAAATGGCCGATTATATGCTCCTACTCTGAAAGCATATCGGGATGATAAATATGTAAAAGACATCGACCAGTACCAAGCATTTTTAGACTTCGATAAGGTGCGTATATTTTTTCTCACTTATAAATTTTTTTTGGAAATATGCTAGTCATAATCACAAACATTACTATCAAAATACTGTCTTATAAATTTTTTTTTTGGAAACATACTGATCATAATTATAGTTTTTTTACTATCAAAATACTATTTTTTCAGAATTTACGTCTAGATAGTATAAAAAATGCTCAAAACGTAACAGATTCAAAAAGGCGAATGATAACTGCTCATGTATTTGAGCAATATCAAACTAAGAAAGCACGGATCAATGAAATAAATCAAGATCTTAAAGGGAAACAAATCTGTGTCTTAAGAGGTACCTCTAATGTAACAATCCAGGACTTGCAAGAGATCATTGTTTCCTTTGGTGGAATTCACGTCGCTAATCCAGGTTTTATTTACTGTTTTTCCCTAGCTACATTTTTAATTTGTCATTTTTGTTTATTACTTTATTCATGAATTATAAAAATACCGGGTATTAAGGTCCGAAAACACTTTTTGTTGTGACTGGAGAGCCCAAACATGTGAAATCAAAGTCGATTATTAAAAGTAACAAATATAATGTGGTCAGCGCAGACTGGCTTATAACGTGCAAAAATATGAGCAAAGTCATACCTATGTAAGTTTTTTAATTTGTAAAACATTTTACTTAAAATTGGGAGAAAAAGTTCTTGACAAGAAAATTTTCTTTTTCATCAATTACTTACTAAATTATATACAAATATGAATTTACTTACTGGAATGTGAAGCCAACCAAATTTCAGTTCTTTTTTCTTCATTCATCTGGAAATGTTTTGTTTTTCTGTCAAACGAATTGGGGCAGAAATAATAGTTTAACCTAATCCGTGTGTGAAAAAGTAATTCTTTGTTCTATTATTCCTGCCTCATTCCCTTTTGACATGCTTTGTGATATAGTCAGTCATTGTTAATATGAAAAGCTGTAATTCATCTCTGCTTCGATACAAAAATTTTATTGTATTGCCTTCAATAAAACGAAAGCTAAAAACTTTATCTGCCATTTTAAATTCTCTATTACAGAACGAAGAAGGAAACTGTTCACGTTGTTGACGATAGTCTTTATTCGTTATTTGGAGATGATAGAGAATTGGGAAATTCCATCATATCGGCGAGCTCTACTGCATATACAGTAGCAGGTGTCAGTGCTTTGCTGGACAAGATAAAAGTACATAAAGTAAAATACTTTTCAGCCATACACAGATTTGTTAGTTTTACTACTTTGTTTTGTACTATTTTACATTTTAAACAAAAACTGGTTTTCTATAACTCAAAATTTTAGCGGAAGAAACCGTTAGCTGCTGAGGAAGCATTAAGAAAACAGTTACTTATGGATGAAAAATTTGATCGATTTTATGGCCAAACGTTTTATTTACATGACGACTTGACGAAAATCCAGAAAATGTACACTCAAACCTTATTGCGAATGCACGGTGCTGATTTGAGTACAAAACAAAGCAGTGCTGTTACTCATGTTGTAGTCCCTGACAGGTATAATGTTCTACGAAAAGCAGTCAAGTCTCCCCTATTTCATTGTATGTAAAGTTAAATACCTGTAATTGAACTATAAATTTTTCACTTTCCTTATTTACGTGGACACTATTTTTTTTCCGTAAAATACTATTTTGGAATCGATAGAAAACAGTTTTTTAGGAAAATAATGTATGATAACCTGCCAAAGAAAACGACCGTTGTTGACGTCTGCTGGTTGGAAAATACGCTTGATATACAATAATTTCAAATTTTGGAAATCCATTCTGTACTATTCCAGTTTTTATTCATTTAAACGGTTCAATATTTTCAGTATTTAGTCTTTCACTATTTCTTCCTTTTTTTTGTAAATAATATCTTTAAAGTTCTTGTTTATTTATGTGAATAACTGTAATTTTTACATAAGTGTTAAGCGTGCTGTTTTTGGCTTTACAAGAAATCAGAAGACGTATAGAATTAATGTTATGAGAAATGATAAGTGTGTCGTCTGTTGTTTTCATACCGTTCTTTTTTCCTTTGTTGTGTAAATTTCAGTGTTTGTACCAAACTCGTACTCCATATTTCTAAGAGTCTTTCTCAACTTCATTAAATAAGCGTTGCACTCTCTTACAATTCTTATTTCGGAATTATTAAGTTGAATTTATATTGAATGTAAACACTTACTTTTCTGTTTTATTTTTTTCATCATGTAGGCTTTGTTCTGAGCGAAACAGAATTAAGAATTATTGTATTAGTGATTTCTTTTTCTAAGGTCCAGGGTGCGAGCAGGCACTAAATTCTAAACTTTCTTTGTGCCGGGAAACAAAGATATACTTTTTTTGCAAAACTATTTATTTCTGTAAGGAATATTTCTTCTGAGAAAGAATTTATCAAAGCTTATTCTGTGAACAGATAGCTAAATTAATAGCTTTTCTTCATGAAATCTTAGATATCTTTAGTGTGCAAAAGATAAGCACATCTGATTCCTTTGGTTCAAATTTAAAAAAAAAATTATAATGGCTATATTCATCACGAGTTGGATTTTTAACCCATCTAAAAATGTTTCGCAGTTTCTTCCTCTTTTCTGCATAAAGTATAAGGCCTATTTTAGAATTTTCAGAATTTACACACAGCAACAAGTGGCCAAAATTGGTGATAATAATTATGAACCAAGCTTTAATTTTCCACTTTTTTTTCAACTCTTGCTATTACCTATTCCACAACTTACCCAGAAGTACAAGTTCATTACCCATTTAATGGTTACGCCCATTGCCATATTACAATTGGCTCTCACCATCTAATACAGTATCCCGGAAAGGAAAGCCAACTGATGAAGTTAATAATGATGACGATGTTTATTTTTCATGATGTTCTGATATCGATTTAACAAAAAAGAGTGACAACTGCAGATCATCATTGATTTCATAGCATTCACTCTTCCATCTACTGCTTTCTTCTCTACATAAATGTGCGAGAGAGAGAAAAAGAAAAATGCCGAGAGGTATGGGTTTCCTGCTGTTTATTCTCCTTCCTGTTGCATTACAAGGAGCTAAAGCAAAACAAATTCATTTTGCAACAAAAAGCGGCAATTTTTGTCATTTCAAAATGTATAAGCGAAAACCAACAATAGTATGAGAGAGTAAAATGAGCTGAAATCTACTTTCTCCAATTACTTCACTGGAATTTCTGGTAGTTCTTGCAATTAACAACTTCCATGGTTATGTGTACAATTCAGATCATAGGTTACTAATTCAGCATCTTCATAGAATGATCCACTATAACTTTTGTTCGTTTTTTTGACTAAATTTTCAAACATGACGCAATGAAAGTTCAAAAAAATTCCATTGCTTGGTGGGCAGTAATTGAAAACTGACCGTAATAATATCTGAAAGGTGATTAGGTGATAATAATTTGTGAAGTTTAAAATTCTCAGGTGCTAAATAATTCTTTCCACACATAACATAACCTTCCACTCAAATCATTGAATGGAATGCTAGACATTTCTGAGTCAGCTCAAAATTGATCTAGAAATTCCTTTGAAGAGATTACGTTTAAAATAGATTTTAGCTTTAATCAATCAAAAGGGGACAAATACAAGACAAAAAAGGATAGTAGACATATAAAGCATCTACACATAAAAATAAGTACTCGTTAATTAAATAAATTGCCATTTGCAAGAAATATTTTCTATCTTAAACTTAAAAAAAAAAAACAATGCAAAAATTTTACCAACATTTCACGTAGAATGTTTTTCTTCTGAAAACAAAATTATTAAAATATAAACAGAGATTTTTAAATAATATCCGGATAATAATTAACAATAAGGCCTAGGAAGGCCATAATTAGTGATATCTCATGTTCTTTCAATGTTAACCAATACATGTCCTTTGCATCACTTGCATTTTCATGGCAGAATGATTTCAGCATTAAATTTACATACAGATGCATCATTTATTTCTCATTAAATCCAAACCATAGAAGAGTTGAACAAAGTTTACTGGCCTATATAACAGTACTCGAAAATGATCTTTACCTGAAATTTCTTGTCTATCCTATTTATATAAGGGAACGAGAGATATGAAGTAAAATTTTTAATTATTTCAAATTTTGGCTTAGAGATAACACTCGGTTGTTTGAAAGACATTCAAAATCGAACTTGCTATATATGATAAGCTTCAAATAAAAATAATAGCATAAATGGAAAAATAATGAGACAACAATAAGGGAGATGAACGATTGGGAACCCTTCAAATAAACCCTGTGGATTATTGAACAGCAATTAACATATTCAATAACATATACAACAACAATATAATTTTACCTTGTCTAATTGAAAGGAAACGAAAAAAGAAAGTAAATTAGAAATATATACCTTGTACAAAATGACAAAGAGACATGACAAAACAACAGCGGGGTACAATAAGAGAGCGTATTCGAGAAATGCAATTCATACCTTGTATAAACGAAAGAGTACAAATGACCCTGTTTACAATTCGATTCTTCTAACAGATATTTATTTGATTAATTAATTAAATTCATTCATTCGTTCACTCATTCATCAAAAAATTTACAAATTAGTTAAAATGAATTAATAACACTTAATGATGGTTAATACGTATTTTTTTCCTTTTGTCTGCACAAATAACCCTAAGTCAAAAAGTTTTGCTTCTATGGTACTTAAACTGCATATTGATTTCATCAGTTATTTATTTCAAATATTTTATTTCTATACAAAACCCGGAAAATCAACCTGTTAATAATCACATCAAATATCATTTCGACGCAAACATACTTTCTTTACTCAAAAAGCCATAAATCTGCTAATTGCAAAAGTATTCACACATTCACACATACACACATACATGCACACATACACACACATACACATACATACAGAAAAAAGAAGGAAGAGAAAGATAGTTATTGAACCAATTTGCGCCAAAATTGTCATCTTTCGTAACATTCTTCGATCTCGAAGTAAATTTTCTGCACTTTTCACTACTATTGTATTTTTTCTTGCTATTAATAACGTTAATGCAATTTTGAAACAGAATTTTAACAGAAAAACCGGTATTGAAAATGATCGTAACTTCGGCACAAATGAGTATAACAAAGTGTGACCTAATTTCTTTCATTCTTCACTTTTCAAAAACATACCATTAAAATTGCAGCATTAGAATATTTGTAAATTTTTTGATTAAAATTTGAAATTTAAATAATGTTATGTGATTTATGACTGGATTCATATAATTTCCACAAAATTTCATTTACCATGTACCAATTAAAAAAATTATTTGCAACTTTTTTTTCACTCTAAAGTTTCTATTTTTAAATAAGTTTTCCAATAATGCCACCAAAATATACCATTATAGTCAATTGTAGAAGACATCGCTTTTTTTGAATCGACGCAAGTTTTTTCAAAACTAATCCTATCTTTTAAAAAAATTAGAAACTATTCGATTTTAATATTAATTAAAAACTTTCAAAATTTTCAAATTCCATAATTTATTATAATATATTTCCCAATATATTCAGAACATTTTTGACTTATTATAATGGTTGCCACGGATATTAAAAAAACTAATTTCGAAAAATTCATCTTCAATTCAAAAATTTTTATTTCTGGCTTTAATTGAGAAATTGATTGATGTGATCAATTTTTCTCGTCAGTAATAATTATATAATACAAACTTACGGTATCACAACTAAATCATATCATTGAATATGTTATTAAACTTACACCTCCAGACCATTTTTACACGAAAATTTTTTTGAATTCAAAACATTTCAAATTAAATTTTTAAATACCATATGCAAACCTTCCATATCCAAATATGGCTTTAAGCTTGATTGATAATTGTTATCCGTGGCTTTGAGCTCAAAGATGTTCTATTTATGATAATACATTCATGTATAATTATTGGTGAGAAGGAAATTACGCGGATTGAAACTGGCCAAATGATGGAAGGAAAGAGCACCAGCTGGAAATGGTACTGTTGGCGTTGGCTTGTCTTTGTTCTCCTTTTTATGCTTCATACGACGATTTTGGAACCAAATTTTGACCTGAAACAGGAAATGCTTAAATCAGGGAATAGAGAGAGAGAGAGAAAGAAAGAAAAAGGAAGAGGAACAGAAAAAAGATATCTGAAATTTGAAATTTTTTCTTTAATGAAAAACAAACATTCAATAACCAAACGAAACAATTTTCAATTATAAGAATGAAATGGCTTTTTTTTCAAATATTATTAGAAAATGTCTCAGATTGTTAGATAACTTAATAATGAAAGAATTGGGTTAAAAAACAAACTAAAAAGCTCAAAATGATTTGCATAACTTTTTTGCTATGCATTATTAAAACAAAAATTTACTTGTCATGACATAATTAGCACTGAGACTATTAATTAAGACTTGCTAAATTTATGAGGAAAGTGAAGCAACAGTAATTTATTCGTTTCTATAGCGCTATTTCCTCATTCTCAATCTCCAGTCTTTTTAGGAATTGAAATGGATTTTGGACTCAGGATTTTTTTGAAAGAATTTTACTCATAAGCTTTTTTCAAATCAAAAATCTTGAAATCATTTATACTTTCATATTTTGTCATCGAAATTTCCTCTTCCCTCACTCTTATTTTTATTACATCATAAAAAATCATAGCATCTGTGCGAAGGTAATATTTTAGAAGTGCTCGTCCCATCAATTTTTTGATTATTGTTTTAATTTATTGAATTAAAGCAATTTGCAAAAATTCACAAGAAAATATTTTTAAAAATTGATAATTTAGTTTGATCAAAGTTGTTCAATTTACAAAATTGAACGAAAAAATCATATGAGCAAGCTTTAAAGTCGACAAGTAAACATCTTTAAAGTTCGAACTATGCACAGTTGGTTTTTGAATCGAATTAAAATTGAAACGAAAAATAAAATATGAATGATCACTTTAAACAGCAATGATCCAACTAACTTGTCGTTCAGTTAGCATCAACGAATGAGCTATTTCGATGCGCCTCTTTCGAGTCAAATACTTATTGAAATGAAATTCTTTTTCCAATTCCAGTACTTGATTCCTAGTATATGCTGTTCGCTGACGTTTTTCGCCTCGATTTGAACCTATATTTCAATAAATTTCATTTATTTATTCATAAATCAACAGAGAAAAAACTTTTCAAAGAAACTCTACCTCAATTATAATAAAAATTTACAATAATTCATAAATCCGGAAATTCTCACTCTATAAATTTTAATATGAACTAATATCAATGTTATCATCAAAGTTATTTATTCTGACTCAATTAAATATATTTTCTAAATATCCATTTATATTAATATCGTTATTTTTTATCAATTATTATTATTTTACTATTATTTACTATTAATTGTTATTTATTGTTACATTTTCATATAAGTGCTATTACATATGCATTACATATGCAATCATTTAATTCAAAAACAAGCGTCATATTTCACCATAAAAAAAATACTTTTAAATAAAGTAAGAAAAATTATCCCTTATAATTAAAAAAATTACACAATGCCATTGTTTTATTTGAATAATTTCTTATAGAAAATTTAAAATGAAATATTACGAGTAAAATTTCATAGTTAAAATTTATAAAATATTTATTATGGAAAAGAGAAAAAGTAAAAGAGAAAGAAATGATTGGCATCATGGAAGTAATAATTCATGAAGCGCAAACAATTGTTTGGTATTATTACACAAATTCTTCAGTCGTTCCACACACACACACACACACACACACACACACAGACACATACACACACAGACACATACACACAGTCAATTCGTGGTAATAAATTATGATTTGCCTCTTTTTGTACAGCACGAACTTACCTCTTCCTCATTCATCCTCTAAATTTCCTCTCCTCCCCCGCTTTTTCCCTTCTAATTCATCTCTTCCTCCCATTCTCTCCGATATATGTTGTCTGTCCAAGAAACATATTTTATCTTATGGTTGATCTTAGAAGAGAAGAAGCTCTCTATTCAAATTTATTACCCACTGTTCATCACAAACTATAATCTCATCAGTTCCACCACTTCAATATTCCATCCTTCCCTCAAACTTTGCATCTCGAGCTTCAAATTTATTGCAGTACCAAATTTGCATCATAAATTGTGGAACGCTTCGCAACAAATATTTATCAAATTCCGTAAATTTCCTTCTTTTCCTGATCTCAATAGTAAATTATTTTTACAAATGAGTAGTTCGAGAAATTTATTCATTTTAGTGATTTTTTTAAAAAATGAACTCATTCATACATTTATCGTACAAATCAAAAGCTATGAATTAATAAAAATCTGCGATAGTTGCATTAAATTGATTTCGCATTATTTGAAATTATTCTATAAGCTATGATTTAAGGAGAATTGTATGAAATGATCATATAATTCTTCTTAAATTATAAAAGATTGGCATATCGAAGTATGAAATTTCTTTCCCTACTTACATTGTTTTATGCAACGAAAAATAAAAATTGGTTAGGAAAAAAATTAATTTTTCTCAAAAAGTATCTTTGTCAACCAATAATTTTGCAAAGAAAATGAAATGTTAAATAACTATTTAACTTTTTCAATAATTTCAATTTTATTCTAACCTATTTAAGCCTATTTTATGAATAAATGAAAGCATTGGAGGGAAAAAAAGATCCAAATCGATGGCAAAACTCAGTGGGTGGTAAAACATCAAAAAGATACACAAAATATGTTCCCTAATTTTTATAACATCAAAAAATACAAACCGATGTGATTTTCTTTTTGTAAATTTAAACCTTTGCAGTTTGATGAGTCAATTTTTAAACAGACATAAATTGAATTCAAATCCGACAAGGAAAAGAAAATTTCTATTAGTGACAGAAATGGTACTCAATATTGCATGAAAAAAATAATTTTTGATTTTTAAATTTATTTTAATAATTTTTGATGTTTAAAATTTAAATTACACATTGAACAAACATTAAATTTATTTTAAAGTACGATTAGAAAATAGTTTTAAATTCATAAAAGTGCACTTTTTTATCAAATGGTATATAGAATGTAAAGCAAACAGTACTCAAATAAATTGAAATGGATGTACTTTTGAATTATTTATTGCATTCCTTTCCTATGATTGATAATATCAATAATGAAAGAAACTGACAATTTTACATATGCTTATACACTTCCAATAAAAAAAATTTAAACTATCATAATTTATTTTATCTTTGACCTTTTAATTACCTCTCAACAGGTTGCCGATCATTTAATCTTCAAATTTAGGAGAAAATGATCACAACACATGGACATTTGAATGATGCCTATGGAAATGTATTCCGACTATCATAACATTTCCTTTTTTTACACTCCAATAAATTATCTATTTTAATAAATATTATAGTCAATCGGACGTTGAGAAGTGTGAAAAAAACAAAGTTGTTGAATTATTTTCGTTGTCTGAAATTCTCACTAATTCAAGAATTTCAAATCATTGTCACGTTGAATCCATGCTCAGTAATCAAGGTAGAAAGTACTGTAGTTGAATAAGTTTAGAGATTTAAATAGAAATAGTAAAAAAATAGAAATAGTAAAAAAATAGAAATAGTAAAAAAATAGAATAGAAATAGTAAAAAAAATTCATAAAATTCATTTTTTCGATGTTATCGAAATTACAATCTTAGTCAATCGATTAATTAAAATAAGATCTATTTTCTATTCCATAGCTATGCAAGATATTCCACTTAACAGGCAATAATATCCTTTTGCATAAACGTGTAAAATTTGCTAGTAATAAATTCAAAATCGTTTGGGTTCATGCTTTATTTATTTATGTAAATAATAAGAAAAGTTCATCTATTAACATCAAAAAAGGCCTAAAAATGGACAAATCAATAATTTTTTATATTTTTGAAATAAACGAATTTGGTTTGTTGGTACCAATTTGGCTCATATTCTCTCTTCAACCAGCTTCTTTTTTAACCTCAGCTAACAGTATGAAAGCGTTAACATCTATTCAAACAGCCAAATATTTTAATTTACTATGGAGCGAATAAAGTCCGAAAAAGCAATCAGTGTATCGTTAAAGTTATTTAAAATCTTACACTTTAGGAATTCTGCATATCATATTAAAGTACGTTAGAGTATTCTGACATGATCGACAGATCTAGTTAACTTTTGGCAATTTTTGCAGCAACAATAAAAAATTTTTAAATTGAAATTTTTAGATTTTTGAAAACAAAAAAATTCTGGACATTTTCAAAAATTCGAGGTAACAAAAGAATTAATCCTATAAGTAAAAAGAATGCAAATATATACTATGTGTGTGCGTGTGTGTGTTTGAAGTGTCAGTTAAATGGTTTGGTAGTTCCCTTTGTCGGCAAACCCTCTTCTGAAAGTGCTGGCCGATTTGCACTCGCCCAACAGTTGCTCTCCTTGAATGCCAAAACTAAAACTTGCTTTCTGATCCGATTCAAATTCGATTTCAATGATTTAAATGTATAAACATACATACACACATACAATACACAAACAAAACATTTCAACTAATTCAATCAATATGAATTGGTTTAATTAATTTAACTTGCTATGATACTACCAATCAATCAATCAAAACAGACTTATTTAATATTTATAACAATTCTTGCCAGACACAAATACATGTTATTAAATATTGGAAATGTTGAAGTTCTCTCTTTGCCTGACCTGACATTATTACAAATTATTTTTCATCAAATAATGTACTTACCGTTTTTGAAAATGATTCATATTCTTTCATAGACAAACATCTTGTCAAATTTAATTTGAAACAATTCCAATTATGGATTATTTAATTTGGTAATAGCTTAGAACCAGCACTTACGTGAACAACAATAATCCAATACAGTAGTTTCAAACAAAATACATATTCATCCACAAATTTTAAGCTTTGTTACTATTCAAATTCAAATTTCTTTTAAATTAAGTGCATCAATTGATCGAACGTCCATCAACCGAAGAAGTCTCTTTGAACAGTTGATAAAATGCTCTTGTGCAATACCGTAATTAATCATTAGAGGTTAATCAAAGGAGTACCGACTACTATATGTTTATACATATGTGAATTCTCTGTCTCTCTCCTCAATCCATCATCCTTCAATCATTTTTCCTAAATAGCAAAAATGCCAAATTTTAGCAAAAAAAAAATTTTTTTTTCAGTTCAACTTCTCTTATTTTATTTTTATAATTCTTCGATTTTCATCTTTACATTATTATTTCTCTCAATGCATTCTTCGTCTATCGATTATTTATTGCATTAAAAGTTTGTTAGATTAATCAAATGATTATTTCTCTAATAAAGCTTGTAAACTATTCTATATTTTTCCAGTATTACTGTTATGCATTTAACACGCTGATAATAATGATAATAATAATAGTATTAATGATAACAATAGTGTTAATAAGTGGTAATAATAATAATTAATAATAATAGTGATAATAATAATGTCCATTGCCATCAAACGGAGTAACAATTATGGACAATTGCCAAAAGCGAACTTTAGAGATTTTAAAACTGATTATTAGTTAAAGCCATAATAAACTCAAAAAGTAAAAAAGTCAGTAGTGATTCAATGTCAAATTTCAACATCACTAAAAAAGAAATTTAAATATTATAAAAATAAAAATATCCATTGGTTCAGCATAACAAATATTTCAAAATAAAACATATCATTCTATATCTTATTAATTAAGTTCTTTGCAATCACCTGAAGATCTTTCCTTCATTAAACATAAGAAATGCAGACAATCATATTAATTAATCAATAATTCTAGTAGGTTTCGGCTATATTTTGTGAGTTTATTTTTTTTCGTTAAGCCAAATTTAGACCAATTCCAAATTTAAAGTATGAGAGAGAAGCAAAATTTAAATAATATAAAATTTCCGGAAGAAAATCTGAAAATTTAAAACTTTTATGTAGAAAACTTAACAAATCATAAATTATTAACAACTGCAAAAATTAAACTATTTCATTTATAAATATTTTTAATTTAAAAAATTCTAATTGGAATCCCATAATAACTTATATGCAAAAAATACCAATTTTTTCGTTTTTTGAAAATGGTATTGTTAGAGCTGATTTATTTTGCGGTTACAATATGTAATATTTCAACTATCAATTCGATTTCGATTCTATGAAGTGAAGTTAAAAGAAATTTACATATTTATTTGAAATATGTGCAACAGATGTATATTTCTGCATTTTGAAAAATAACATTTTCTACAGTCTGAAAGGATGGTACAAGCAATTTATTTGCTATCCATCTGGTATAATATCGCAGATCCAAGCCTGAGCCATCACCAACATCATCACCGATATTGCCGACGCCTGTCGCCGTCAACAGCAAGGATAACCTCCTTTTCTTCCTATTATAATTAATGACATACTGTAGTGTATGTGTGTACGTGTGTGTGTGTGTATGTGTGTGTGTGTGTGTGTGTGTGTGCGGTGTGTATGTGTGTGTTGTGCCTTCATTCGATCATATTAATCACTTTTGAAATCTATGTGCACATATATATACAGAGAGAGAAAGAAAGATGGATAGAAATATACTAAGCTTAAATCACTTATGCAAATTTATTCCAACCTTAATAAGATATATTTATGATATTATAAAATCCATTATATTGTGTGGAGGAAAAGTTCGATTACCATTTATTAGAATAAAAATTACTCCAGCTGTTCATTTGTAAGGAAATTTCAATGTTATCATTTATTGTCTTTTAAAAGAATTTATGAAATAGATGATGTATTAATGTTATCATCTTCTGATCACTAAAAGAATTACCTGTCGATGACATTAATTCCTTCCACCAATCACTTAATTAGTTTTTCTTTCCAATGACTCATTTAGAAAAAATAAAAAAAAGTGAAGGAAATTTTTAACATATACTATAGATATTATCATTAACATTTATATCAAAATGATGCAATTATTACAGTAGCAAATCTCTAACTGATCTATTCTATGACTTTTTTCTCGATGCATTGATTATATTTGAAATATCAATTTGACTAAACTTTCCAATCACCACAATCCATTAATGTATGCAAATTTAGCTATTAAACAAGCTAAATGAATAACGCTCATTTTCTCTTTTACTTTCATATAGAATATCGGTAAGAGACAAAAGTTTTGTTTTTGGTAAATTCGAAAAGTTAAACTCGTTTATTAATTCTCTTCTTAAGTTTAGAATATTTTTTCATGTGCAAAAACGATCGATTAGTGAAATTTGTATCTTGTCAAATAACAAAGAAAATTTTTCAAAATTATTTTTAGAAGAAAAAATTATACATTTTGACTCCGTTTTTCTCTTCCGTTTAAATAAAATGTAATATTTTTGAAAAACTAAAAAAAGTCAATTTATCATAACCAGTCTTAATTTATGAGGTATAAAAAAGCATATGTTGCTAAATTGTTGTTGATTTGTTTTATTGCTTCTTTAGTAAATTTAAATTCAACTTTTTAAATGAAACTTCTCAATTATGTCACTACAAAAACTGTGCTAATTAAAAATTTCTACTGATATACAGACTATAATTTAATAATCATTGATTTATAGGGAAGATAAAATTTTGATTTATGGAAAAATATATTTTTATTTATAAAAAATAATTCAGGCCAAATTATTATAGATAGTTTATCGTAATAGTGATAATTAAAAATGATGCTGGCTTATTAAAATAATGTTTAATTTAAGTAACTTCATTTCTTGCATTTACTTATTTCTTTGTTACTGTCCTACTTTTATCCTTCTTATGATATTTTGAAGCCTAAATCGTTTCATTTTTCAAAATCTAATCATTTCTTCAAGCGGTATCATTCAAATTTTACGAAAATTTTAGATTTAGCTAAATTTCATTTCTATATTTGATTTTATATTATTTAAATCTATAAGCAATTATTAATAGCCATTGCATTATATTATCATATGGTATAATTTCATTAAAATTCTAATTTTAATACTTTGAAATGAAGCATACTTTCTAACTAATTTGAACAAATCTACATATATTCAACGAATCGTAAATTAATTATAAAACCGCTCCAAAAATTTTTTCTATCAAATAATTAATTTCTGTTTGTAAATACGTACCATTGGTTAACGATCGATGCATTTAACAACATACATATTGCTTGTAAAAGATTAAAAATAGAAAAATGAGAAAAGAAAAAGGAACATTGGTAAAATTGATTAAATGATCGTATACCTTAAAGGAAGCTAAAGATGTGATGATTAATTATTGGACAAAATAGTTGTCCAAAAAGACATGAAAATATGCATTTATATCGTGGAAAAAATGATGATAATGGAAATTTTAAAGGAATGAATTATTACTTCAGTAAACGCTATTTATTATAAATATGGCATTAAGCGATTCAGGTAAGCTTGCTTTATTCAGCAATAAACTAAATAGCCTTTTTTAAATATATTCATGGAATGTTTACAAGTAAGCCACAATATAGTATCATCACATATCAATAGAAAAAATAAATTTGTTGAATGAGAATGAAAATGAAATTATTCGTGTAATGAATATAAAATATATTTACAATAATTAAAATTTATGAGATGAAAGAAGAAAAGCAAGAGGGGAGGGAAAAAAAATTAAATTGATGAAAAAAATTTGAGCAGTTAATATTACAAAATGTTACAGGAATATTATGTTACATGCTGATGGTGTTTTAAAAAAAATGATAAAAATTTACTTAACAGCAATTTTAAAAAATTATCGATAACTAACATTGGTTACCTTTGACTATGAAAGAATTAATTTATCATATAGTTCTTTACAAAGTGAAAGAAAAGGAAGGGAAAAAAGAAGAAAAGTTGAGGTATTGGTGTCGGGATGATCTGAGAAAATTGTACTGAACATGAAAAATGATGGTTTATCAGTTATAACAGAAGAAATGTAGAAAATAATTTTTCATAAAATTTGAACAGAGAGAAAAAAAAGAAGGATGACAAGAAAATAAAAAAAATGAGTGGAGTTGCAGCCGAAGCGTAATTATCTGTGAACGTCACCGCCATTACCGTATACCAAAAAATGCCATGTAAGAATTAAACACTTCCTGCGTTTTTTTAGGACCCCATATATCTGGTTGGTTAAGAAGTATTAAGTACCATGCGAGTTAATATTATAGTGTTATATTATTTTATGATATACAAAATAATATATCATAATGTGATAAATTTGACAAAGTCAGGAGTTTTTTTTTTGAATTGATTTAAACTAAAAAGTTGCTCCTATAATAATCATTTGTCGTAACAATGTTAGATAATTTTGAAATCATAAGTTATTGCATTTCAATCGTCAATTCCTAATATTAACACAATATTAACACAATAAACTTAATCATACTTGTCCTGTCACTTTTATCAGGTTAGGCATTGACTATCTGAAATAAATTCTTATGACAGTTTTGAAATCTGTGCCATTGGTCATCCACAACAAATTTTTGAATGATTCAGATGACAAGGATTTTACCGGTAAATGCTTAAGAATATTTTTCTAATTTTTTCGTTCCTTTTGAGATTTTTCCACGTGACTGCTACCACCTCACAATAATGTTTGGGAGCAACAATCTCATCGATACATTACAAATATCATGCATAGGACAAGAATTTTAACATTACCCATCTAAAAACATTTCAAACAAGCCAATAAGGTCATGATTAGTTCATAACATTAAATTTTAAATCATTTTTTTATTTATTACATCTCGGTGGTAAACTTGATAAGTGGAATATTTTTGAATAGGTTAAGAAAGCTGAAATACTAGCGAAATTTTAAGTTTAATAAAAGTTAAAAAATGAAGATAACGTGATAAATTTGAAATGATAACGAAGTTAAAATGACTTATCGTCATTGCTACCATATATCTCTTTACCTGCCACTTTCGCAATTCTCTTCAATTAGTGTACATCAAAATGTCTATATTTCATCTATTTATTTGCTGTTTATTAGTTAACCAGATTTTTTTAGCTAGCTTATTTAATTTACTATTTGACATTTCTTAATTTATTGTAATTGTACTTTTTTCTCAGATGAAATCATTATTACTACAAGAAAAGAAGAAAAATCTATTAGCAAGAAACTTCTGGAAGTTTCAAGATAAGATTCTCTCAGTTCTCTAAAAAGTCAATACAATTCATTGTGCATGACTTATACTTTATAATTATTTTCGGATGCTTTTTAAGAATATAAACGATTGTTAGACATGCATTTCTTATTATCAATGGATGATCCTTTTCTTCAACCTTTTTTTGCTCATTTCTGAAATTGCTCAAAAGCAGAAAATGAGAAAGCCAAGCCTTTTAAATAATATTTATCAACCCATTTTTAATCAATTTTCAAGCACATTGCATTGGTCTAACAACTAAATTGTCACTCAATTGAAAAATAAAGACAAACTGATAAAAATTTGCATAATAAATAATTTACTGACTTGACGATGTGGAAAAAAATACGCTTATTTTCCGTAATCTCCGATAAATTCTCAATAAAAATGAGAAAAAAAAGGATAGAATGAAGCATATGAAAAAAAAAGAAAATTTTCAATGAAGCATATGAAAAAAATACATTTACGAAAATAAAAATAATTAAAAAAATAAAGAAACTTCTTTTATCTATTTCTAGACCGAAGATTTCCATTTTGTTCTGAACTTCCTATTAGTTATCATACTTGATAAAAAACGATAATAGTTTGATACGGCAAGTTTCATTTCATATTCTATTCCTTACATCTCAACATAAGTTCATAAATTTATTAAGATATGCTGAAACGAATTAGCATATTTCAATTCATTACTTTTTCCAAGCAATATCAAAGAAAGAAAGCGAAAGAAATTTAATAATAGAATACAGAAGATTTATGCCAGTTGAATTTAAAAAAAGATAGTAAAAACACAAATTAAAAAGTTTAAAGATGGATTAAAAATAAAAAATTTTGTCATTTTCTAAAATTACTCAACTTCAATTTTAAAATTTAAATTTTGGCTCTTTCATTTATTAAAAAATTTATTATTAACTAAGACTATCTAAAACTAAACTATATTACAATTTCATAAACATTTGAGTTGAGTTAAACATTATGTTAAGTAGCATTTTAGCTACGATTATTATACGAATTAATCAGTGCAGCTGCTCACTTATTATTACAGTACATTTTTGCACATTAGACCAAATCTTCTATACTTAATTCAATATTAGTTTAACAGTAATTTTAAACAAACAATCAATAAATCAGAGAAATAATTTATAGAAGTACCATAATACTGATACCATATGTGATAACAGAATTCATTTATATTGTAATCTTTAAATTGCTAGTGAATTTTTCATTTTTCTGTATTTCAACAATGTTATAAAATTAATTCAATTGAACTAAGCTATAAACAATTTCAATCTTTTCAATTCCCTATTTATATAAAAACATTTAATTTAAACATATTGAAAGATGGACTACATCGACTATCATTTCAGTGTTTTCTAAATTTAAATTAATTACTAACTAACCGCTAGCTGAATGAACCCGTGTCATCCAAGGATAAACGGCCACATTATTCTTCTCTTCCTCATCTTCATCCTTTTCACCATCTTTCCCATTCTTATTCCATTCTCCATTATTGTAACCACAAGATGAACTCTGTAATTCAAAAAATTAATTTTACAGTTTATTTTTAAAATCATTCAAAAATATTCAATTCGAATTTGAATTGAATTCACATTTTTCAATTTTTTTGATTTCAACTTTTTAAAATTATTTAATAAATCTTGCAATCATTGGTGATTTAAATAAAATTTTAATATTCATATGTAACGAAATTTTTTTTTAATTAAAATTCTCGCTTCAAAATATTATACTGGATAAATCATATATTCAATTTGTGAAATTCTATCTAAAGATGGTAACAGTGTGCTTTTAAAAGCGGTAAATATTTTAATATTTGAAATAAAATAAGAAATAAAAAATAAAAAATATCGAAGGGATTGAAGTATTGAAAGAAAAAGTAATGCTATCTTGACTAAAATTCAATAATACACAATGAGCACAATTAAAATTTTTGAAATTTGATATAACGAATCATTCACTACCTTAGTGCATGCAATATACGAAATGGGGTGACGAGATTAGAAAATAAGCGAAGATATGAGAAAGAATAAGATTGAATAGTCGGCTCATCAAACGATAGATCTTATCAAAGCATGCTACATATGAATGAATGATTAAGAATGGAAAGACAAAGGCTAGTAATTATTGATCTTTTCTTAGTTAATTATAGATATAAATTTGTGAAAAATGAAAAGCCATAGGAACTTACTTAAATCTATTTGTATATATTGCATAAGCTTTATTACATAAAAAACATTTTAAATAATGCAAATTAATTAAAGATGTAATTAATAATTTTATATAGATGTAAAGTAAATAAGTGATATTGTCTGTTTGTCCTGATTTATAGTCAAAATATACAAGCAAACACAAATTACACCTCCATGGAAATTTATGAAAAATGAAAGGCTAGGGGATAGGAAAGTCACTTAAAGACACATTATCGATGTAATAAATCTGAATTAATTGGCTCAGCGCCTTTCATTTGATTTATTAAAACTCATTAATAGTGAGCATTCCTACCAAAACTAACGACTTTCGCTTCTTTAAAAATGTTGCCATTTATTTCTCTCAAAAATTTTCACTCTCAAATAATAGCTTCAACAAATCTCTGTCTCATAGCTTCCTCATTTCATCAAAGATGATAATATTGTTGCTTATAAGGCTTTAAAAAGCTCAAAGTGCTATTTTTTCCCACAAATCAAATCTGTTCAGCTCACTAGTTCTCTTTCCTTTCAAAACTAATTATTTCATTCTTTTCCTGCATGCAAAATATACTCATAATTTAAAATTCTGTTGAAGCTTTCTATTCTGCAACAATTATAAACATCCATATTGGTAGAAATTTAGGCTAACCAGCTGCTTGCTTTCTTTAATTGCCTGCAGAAACCTACAGTATCCATTCCATATAAAATTGCTTGCTACAGTAAAGTGAGTTTCTCACAATTATGAAATATGATTACCGCTCTTTACAATATCAATCTTTACCTTATAATTTAATATTTTATGAAATGCGCTCCAATGTATGGATAAATTTTCATATTTCTTCAACGATGAGCATAATATATTATGAAAAAAGCCTTACACAATGGCCTATACAAGATCTACATGTTTAATCTTGTCGTAACAAATAACTTGATGATAAGATGTGAACATTAGACATCATAAAACTGAACTAATCAGGTTTACTTTTCGATTTTTGATGATAACTGCGGAAACATACTTCAATCCAACATAGAAAACATCTTATTCTATTCTAATTTTCCAAAAATCCATCATTCAAACAGACTAAATTGGCTTTACCTTTGAAATTATTCCCCTAGTCTGATGCAATTGAACGAATTGAATGAAAATCGAAGCAATTGCATGAAACTGAAATAATCCAGTTATCTTAACTTGATTAGAATTATTATGTTCCGTGCACTGTTCATGTGATTTCAAATGTTGGCATTAAGGTCCAACATCAAATCGATACAACTTCCATTCTATCATTACTTTTCACTCATTATTTTAACATTCAATCATTAAGATGTGTTTCTCGATGAGAAGTTTGAGTCAAAAGCCTTCAGATCAATATAGAAATTGAAGATGGCGGACATGTGAGATTAATACTAATAGTATTTATACATTCGGGAAATTGAAAAAAATAATTTACAATAATTGCATATTTGTACTCAAGTTATTCCAAACACAAAAATATTTATCGGAAAGTTAAAAAACGGCTAGAATCTTGACTTTGAAACGAAGATCAAATAAAATTAGCCATTTCTGATTTAGCATAGTAAATTCTATATTGGAGAAATTTCGATTTTTTCAAAGCATTATATCTTATAAAGTTGAATTTTTTCTAACAAAATATGAATCGATAAATTATTGTGTGTGACTGTACAAATACTCCAACAATCGATCATTGATAAAAGCCATCAGAACTACCTTAGGTATTACTAAAGGTAATTACACTTTTACCTATAATGCACTTCTCATAATGGCAAACCCATCAGTTTTTTGTAATCAGTTCATCAGTTCATTACTGACAGAATTTGGATAAAGTACATAACATAGTATCTTAATTGCATTAAATTATTTATTTGCTTTGTAAAATGAATATTTTGGATAAATAATTTTACAAAATTCCATTAATCTATTAATGATCATAAATTTCGAAATTGTTTCTCTAAAATTAGCTGTTTAATTCTTATTATTTCTGCTTACTTCTTACAGTTATTTGATTTCTAAAATGGAACATTAAAATTTCGATAAAAGGATAAATGCACCGACCGGACCATGTTGACTGGAATCAGAAGCACTATACTGCGCATTTGGATAATATGATGGACCGGATGGTGGTGCAGGTGCTGTTGCAGAATTATTAGTAAGCCTTGGATTCGACTGTTGCTGATCGTAGTAATAATTTGAGATCTCTGGTGCAAATTGCTCTGCTGATGTCATATTTTCAGATACCAATTATTCACCAAACCAATACCGATCCACCAAAACTTTTTCGTCACAAATAATTTCAGTAAATTTTTGCAAAAATTTTTTCAAAATGACAAGCTATAAAATGTATAGCACTAATTGTATAGCACGTTTAGCGACATTAAGCAATAAGCAACATAGCGTTGCAGCGCCACTTTATCGCTGTATTGAAACATACAATACTGAATGATATGGTCCTCCGATGCTACACCAACTCTTCGTCTTCCCTTTTCAAATCTGAAATGTCAACTTCTACAAAAATTTACTGAGAAATCGGAAATCACCACCTCTTTGCGTCTTCTGCGACATCTCGTAGCACCACTTTTTTCCTGTCCTTTTGTTTAGCAATAGTTTTCCGATTACTAAAATAGCAAGGAATCGACAGGAAAAAGAAATCATGCGAAAGCAGAGTAAAAGGATCAGATAGAATAAGGTGGAAAGAGAGTTTCCCGATGGATGTCCCCCTCCTCCCCGCCTTCAACGAATGGACGATCGGTGAAGGCGGGGCAGCTGATGAAAAATCCTTCACATCAGACGACCACACAAAATGAAAACATACAGTCTAAGAGTAGATAGATGGATAGAGAGAGAGAGAGAAAATGTAGATGATGATATGATGGGTAAGATTATTATGATCATAATTATGATTACGATTATGATTGTGATAGTGAATGATAACGATAACAATAAATATGATACATAGCTGTAGTAATTGTTTCGGGCGCAATGATAAACAATATAATAATGCATGCTGTGTGAGTCTCAAATAAAACTTTGATATTTCATTCTAGTTTTTTAAATTCAAATTTGCTAAGTATAAAAAATTGCGACCAACCTTTGATCGTTTCCATAAAGTTTTCAGTGTAAGACATGTGATATCAGCACTCCATAATCTATGCATTCATTTTATCTTAACGACAGCATATTCATTCATTCATTCATTCATTCATTCCTCTTTTCAAATATTCCTTCAAAATATTTTTTCCTAAAAAATTCTCCAATTTCTCCAGTCATTTATGTAGCAAAGCGTCAAAAATCACTCACTTCTTTTATCCTTTATTTTTTACTTTATTATTATATAAATATAAAAAGAGAAAGAGAGGAAGAGAGAGAGAGAGAGAGAGAGGAGAAGAGAAAAGGAGGTGGAGTTGTACCACATGGAGAATCGTATATCGATATGATATGATTTAAGGGTGAGTTCATTTACAGAATGAATGCGACTGCAACATCGTTGTAACTATTCGAGTAGTTAGTTGGTTGTCAGTCAGTCGATTAGTCGATTAGCCGATCAACAAGTGAATTAGTTAGTGAGTCAGTCTAATCAGTCACTTTTGTTGTTTTTATCAGAAATAGCAGTGTTATCAGTGGCAAATAAAGATTTGCCTGGTCGCTTGCTGAATGTCATCCAGCCATTGAAGGATGGTTCACGAATCAGCGAGTTCAGTTTCTCTCGATCATATTCGAGATGGAAGGTGGGGAAAGTATACTGGGAAGAAGCGTAAAGTTTTGTAAGTGAAATTAGGGTGTTGGCGTCGGGAGCCATCGAAAAGTGGGAATTGCGAAGAGTAGGATGGAAGGGGCCTCTCCCTCTCAGTCATCTGTCAGAATTCGTCGGCATTCCTCTGATGGCGGCTACTTCAAAACCAATGAGTGGGCTAAAACCCCGACTACTGCCACATTCGAACATTTCCTTCTTCTCTCCACTCCAAGAACTGATACGTTGCCTTCCTCTTTCCGTTTCATTCCTTTTCGTTCCCCTCACCGACTTACATCCTCCTAAACTCTCATCAATTAAAAAAGCGCCACATTCATTCTCTCTGTTCCCCTCCCCTTCCTCCTACCTCAATTTTCAACCCCCGTACACCTACACTCATCCACCCACTCACACACACACACACACCCATACACACACACTTAAAAGGACTCAGTTTTTTCTAGACCCCCCAAAAACAGAGAAGGGCACAAGATGACAGTGTATGTGTGTGCATGTGTGTGTGTATGTGTGTATGTGTGTATGTGTGTGTGT